CAAAGAGGATATCGAAGCAAGAGCAAAGTAAATATTTCAAATGGCTATGAGAATTTTAAAATGGCCGTTTTATTTTATTTTGTATCTAAATTGAATTATCTTAATACATTTTTATACAATTTAAATAACGTCAATATCAGCAAAAAATTTAGATTAACTATCAAACTTTTCCAACAAATTTAAAAGTCTTACGTTAAAAAGACACACTGGTAAAATTTTCCTAACATAGCTCACATTTTAAGGTTAAAAAACTTATCTAAAAGATACTTATCTTCATATTTAATGTCTTGTTAAATTAACACGACAACCAACAAACAAAAATAAACGAACTTATATTTATTAATAGTTATATACCAGTGGTTTTCAACCTGTACGTCTCCAAGGTCGTCGTTGGTTATTGTCAAGGGCGATTCGTCTGCATTAGAAATTAAAAGTTAAATTATAATAAATTGCTATAATTATTATTTCTCATACATATAAAATGATTAACTAGGTTAACCTATTCCATTGTAAGTTTTTATCTGAGAAAAGCAAGTTTTTGTTATCTTTGAAATGGTGTTTATGAATTACAATAACACGAAGACATTATACCCAAAGCGAAACGGTTACAATAACGGATAGGAAGCGCTATTAGGTGTTTTTGCACAGCACAAGCACGCACGAACGCACTCAAAGTCATAGTTGTTATCACGCGATTGACAAAACGGTCTAAAAATAATCAATATGCGGGCGAGTATTTTATTGTTTCATCAACCGTCTTAGAATGCTGATAATGTAAAAATAATATAATGGTAGTTTTAATAATATCACCACAATAGTCAAAATTCATATAATTTTCGCGCGCGCTTACGAACTAATTATTGATTAAGATTACTATTTATTACAATTTGTACACAAATAACTATACTAAAAAAAGTTTAATAAGCTATATTACAATAATGTTTACATCAAAATAAAAATTAATTAATATATAATATGCATAATAATATTTTACTCAATATTATTAAAATTTTAGGTTTACATTTTTATTTTTATATTGTCGGATATATGTTTGGATTCAAAAATATCTGATTTTAACAACCCCCCAAAAATAAATAATAATAATATAAAGGTAGCTCCACACTATACATGTTTCGCGTTTCGCGTTTAGTGTTTTCACGTTTTCATTTAATTTCGTGAATAGTAAGTATAGCTTTTTCACGAAAAACTTTTTCGTAAAAACTGTTTCGTAATGTTTCGCGAACGAGGCGGTAAATTGACGAAATCAAAGGACACGTATCAATAATTTCGTATTGTTTCGTGTCATTTCGTTAGGTTTCACGTTGCATATGTTTTCGTAAACAAGAAGTTCATATAATTAATATAAATTAAATTAGATATAAAATATAGGTAAATTAATGTGATAAATTATCATCATGTGGAATCACGTAATATCATTTAATTCCAATTATCAATTTCCAATTCCGTTCTCTATTTTTAAATAAAATTGTAGTCTACCATCTTCGGGTTTTTGATTTGATTTTTTTTTTTTTTAGTTTTGAAGACAATACAATATAAATTGCACTGGCAATTGATAATTCATCTCCTCTATCACTATTCATTTGTATTTAAATAAAAAGGAATGAACAATCTGTATGTTGACACGAACTATTGAGCATCATTGATCGTTTTCGTAACCTGATTGAGCACAGTTGCAATCAAATAATAGGAACCAAAAAAAAAAAAAAAACCCCAAAAACCACACGATTAAAGCACGAAAATGGGTACGACGCGTAGTGTTTTAAAATCGAAAAAAGCTGGCCGAAATTAATTATTCCTAAATTTTATACCATAAAAAATCAAAAAGTATCGGATCATGATGTTGTTACGTGGTACCCAATAAAAACAGGTACCTATCGTAATGATGTTGTTGGATCAGGGTAAATTTGATTAAATAATTATTTCAAACACTTGTAAACACTTTAATAAATACAATTACAGAAACAGACATAGATACAAAAATATAAATTATAAATTTGCGCGCTAACAATATCGAAGACGAAACTCAGAAGGGCTTGGTCTGATAGCTGGACACGTCTGCCGTTGGTGGTGAAACGGAGCCTTTATATACTCTGTTGATTCTGTTTTAATTGTGTTGTTTTCGACACGTGGCTGTCCTTGGTCTTGATCTTCATATCCAAGTGATGTTTCATCACGTGGTTGCCCTTGGTCTTGATTGTCTTATTCGAATGATGATGTTGTTGTGGTTGTTTGAAATTCGCGCGTGGCGCCCATTAAGGTTTATGTGTGCAATAGTACGTTTTTCCTTATACGACTCAGGAATATGCGTATTATTATTTCTTAATAATATATGCATATTACAATGTTTAAACGCCCTATTACTTAAATTTGTTATCAGTTTTAAAATGCACCTCTTTTTTGGGGAATTGAAGGGGTTAATAGAACCCAAATTTGATATAATTTTATATTTATTATTAAAAAAAAATATATATATTTTTGTAGAAAAATTTACTAAACTTTTAGTATATTATATAATCAAATTAATAGTTAAAAAAAAAATTATGATTACAATGTTTGATTTGTGTAGAAGAACTAGTGGCGCCGATGTATCAACAATTTTATGTTGCCAACTAGACCCAATTAATTTAACCACCCACCACCTACCATACGTGCACATTTTTTCTTAATTTAACTCATAGTATTTGTAGCAGATAATTTTTACTTAATAGTATTAATTTGATAACTGATGTTTGTATTGACTAAAGCTGGGAAAAATTAAAGTGGTAGGCAGGGGAGTTCGGGGTTACAAAATGATACTTCTAAACAATTTTATCGAGTACATTAAACATTAAATAATTTGCATTACAAATTTAAAAACACGTAATTAAAATTTATTAAAAAAAACTTGAATTTTATTTATTCTTACTTAACTTATTGTATTTCTTTTCTTTTCATAAAAAAAATGTTCTTTAATAGGTAGTTTTTTTATATAGAGTAGACAATACTTACTTTAAAAATGTAAATAGTAAATACAATATAATAAAAGTTTAATAACATTGTTTAAAAATCAATTATACTATTACTAATATTAATATAGAAGTGCTTTTGATAATTCCGTACTTTTATTGGCAAAATTATTGATAACGTTTTCTACATTTGGTACGCAATCCTGTTCACATATAATTTTTAAAAAGCTTTCCAAACGTTCTTCTTTCATTTAGGTTCTTAATTTTGTTTTCACAAGCTTTAACTTAGAAAAAGATCTATCCACGGAATAACTTGAAACTGGTAGTGTTACAGCAATATGAAGTAAAGTGTGTAAATTTGGAAAAACATTTTTTAACTGAGATACACAAAATAGTTTAAATAATTTTCCCATACTTCCTACATTTTCTACATTTCTGGTCACAAATACAGGATGATTTTCAAATTTCTCTTGTTCTACATTATCAAATATATTGGTAAAACAATCATCATAATCACTGTCATCGCCATCAGACTCCTTATTATGCAAATATTCAGGTAGTAATATGGATTTTTCTAGTTCTAAGAAATTAGAACAAAACTGTTGATATTCGTTCACTAAATCATCATATTTTAAAAATGTTGAATACAGTTCACAAATAATTTTAAATGCATCTTTTGGTAAAGGATTTGGAGAATTTTTAATTTCCATAATTCTTTTTTTAGAGAGAAGAGAAAGGTCTTTTAATAACTCTGCTTCATTATTTCCAAACCTGTCATTTAACTCATTTTGTATTATATCTAAGGCACCATAATAGTATTCAACTTTGAATTTTGTAATGGGGTCTGTAATTGGTTCATCCCTTTGAAGTTCACCAGAAAATTTTGGAACACGTCCAGGGCCGGCTGAAAGTTTTTTGCCACCCTAGGCAAATCTAATTTACGCTGCCCTATGCAATAATTTTTTGGAGAGGAAGGGGTTGAATAAAATAAGGACATTCATTTTTATCTATGAACCATTGTTTATTTAAACAAAATAAAATGTTTTGACTGACTTAAGTTTTCTTTACAAAATATAAAATAATAATAATAAAATTAAAATGAATGTTGGGAATGAAATAAATTAATAAAAATATGTATTTAATTTAACATTAAAAAATATTTAACTAAAAAATTAAAAATATATTAAATAAAATTAATTTTGCGAGCCTTTTCTTGGACAAAATCAATCAGTAAACTTTTAAATTCCAGATTTTACATTACTTCTTTTTCAATAGAAATTGTAGCAAGATCACTTAACCTTTCTTGATTCATAGAAGGCCTTAAATAGTTTTTAATTATTTTTAATTTTGAAAAGCTCCGTTCACCAGATGTGACCGACACAGGCATAGTTAAAATAATTCGAAGTGCTACAGCTACATTTGGTACAAAATTGTTATTATTTACAATAAACTGTAACACTTCTAATGGAGTACTGTTGGGCAGTGGCGTGGTGAACAATTTTAATAAAAGGAGCCAGATATAATTTTTCCATCCACCCACCCACCCACATAAAACAGTATGTAACCAAAATTGCTCGCTTCGCTCGCAAGAAAAATATATTACCGTTTAATCATATTTAACATTTTTATTGTGTACAAAATAAATGTTCACAAGTCAAATTGGTGTTCCTGTACAAAAAAAAAAAGGAAATCCATTTTATTTATATTAATTTAGTTATGCCTACATGTATTAAGGCATGCAAATAAGTATATTTAAAACAAAACTTTAATTTTAACATGTAATTTTGGTATGAAGTAAAATATAATTTGTTTTTGATTTATTATATAAAGAATAGTTCATAAATATAATTTGTAACAATACTCTACATTAATAATGTAATAATAACAAATAGTTTTAACACATCAAAATACATATAAGCTCAGTTTATATAGTATCTAATACAGTTATACCTATACGTTATAAACAATACATAAATAACAACTAATATAGAAAATAGGTATGAATATATATGATTTGGCATCGAACTTGAAGTATTATTTGAACAACAATTCTTTTCGCAGCAATGAAGATGTCAAAGCATATTTGTTCAAAAATTCTTCTGGATTTAAAACTATATCTTTTTCACATGATATTAGCATGAGACTTTTAAGTCTATTTTGCATCATAGTAGATCTAAGTCGAGTTTTAACAAGTTTTACTTTAGAGAATGATCTCTCACTTGAAGCAGATGTTGTAGGAATAGTGCATAAGTACTTATATACTACAAAAAGGTTTGGGAATGCTGCAACTAAATTATAAGAACAAAGTATTTTAAGTATTTCAATTGCTGAAAGTTTTTTTTTAGTTTCTTCATTACTGTCTATTTCATTATATGAGTCAGAATCATGTTTAGTTTCATTTTCGCTATCAATGATCAGATCCTTATTTGAGTTAATACTGGAAAAATGTATACCATTGTATAAGTTAATAAAACTACTCGCAAATATGGTATATTCCATTTTTAAATTATCAAGATTTAAATTAGGAATCCAATTCATAAACGCAATAAAATTATCTTGAGGAATTTCAGTTCCTTCTCTAGTTGCCTCTAACCGATCAAAAGTCAATAATGACAAGTTGGACAATATATCTCGTGCACCTTCAAATCTACTTATAATAGAAGTATTTACTTGATCCAATACTACATAATAAACTTCAATTTTAAATTTTTCATAAGGATTTGTAATAACTTTATCAGAAACAATTTCTCCAGGCAACAGTTTCCTGCGACGGCTACGTATATTTGGCAACTCACATTCAACTAAACCAATTTCATTAACAAAATATTTTGTTTTTGTAATTAAATCATTAAAGCTCTGCTCATTTCTTAATTCAGATAATTTTTTAGCACAAACATCCACCATAGTAATTGCCTGAATGAAATCAATAGATGAAGATTGCAAATAAATTGACAATGGAGTAGTACAAGATAAAATATTTTGCATTAAAAATAAATTCAAAATAAACTTAAATGAAGTAATTATTCTGTAGAGATTTGATGCAGTTGAAGAAGTTTCCCTATCAGTTGAGTTAATTAACTCTTCTAATGTTTTTAGAATAGCTAAATACTTTTTACTTAATACTGATAATGCACGATCATGAGAAGTCCAACGGGTGGTAGAGAAGTTTTTCATTCTACATGGCCTTTCAGAAGGATAGCATTTAATTTGTTGCTCTAGGAATATGGCTGTTCGTTTTCTTGCCCTCATATATGTGATCAATTGTTGAACATCTCCAAAGAAATTTCTAATACTTGAATATTTATCACATGTATCCACAACAACTAAATTTAAGATATGTGCAAAACACCAAACATAAATAGCATTTGGGTTTTTCTCTTGGACATAAGATCGAAGACCAAAATATTGTCCTTGCATTGATGCAGCCGCATCGTAAGATTGAGCACATAGTTTTGTTGTCCAATCTAAATTATATTTACTACAAATATCACAAAAAACATTAAACATTCCCAATCCTATAGAATCAGGGGCTTCTTTCATAGCAACAAGTCTCTCTTCAGTTTGACCTTCTTCATTAACAAAACGTAGGACTAATGAAAACTGCTCCAAGTTTGAAACATCAGTAGTTGTGTCTATAATTATTGAAAATACTCCTGCTTTTTTAACTCTCCTCAAAATCTCTTCTCGTACCATTTCACCCATAACACTCAACATATTATTTTGACTAACATTTGATAAAAATGTTAATCTGTTTTTTTTTTTTGCATTCTGAATTTTGGATAAATGAGCCGACAGTAAAGGATTATATTTAGCTAAAAGTTTGACAAGTTCTACAAAGTTACCTTGATTGGATGAACCCCAGTGTTCACTGTGACCTCGAAATGCATTGTTTTGCCGAGCTAAGTACAATAAAGCTTCAAAAATTATTTTAACAGTTTCTCTATTTTCTGCAACCTGTGAATTTGATGATGATAATAACTGCACATCAACCCTTAATTGACTTGTATACATAACTCGGCGTATTTCAGACTGTAAGTGTTCTGGTGCAGATTCGTGTACTTTAATTTTATATGAAATATGTCTCCAGTCATTAGTTCCATGTTTTGAAAATTGATCATGTTTTCCATTTGGCAATCCAAACAATTTACAAACTATACAAAAGACGCAATCGGTAGAAGGAGAATATGATAGCCAATTGCGTTTTACAAAACTTCCTAGTGAAATTTCTTTAAAATAATATTTTTCATGAAATGATCTTAGACGATTACCTTGTTGTTTTGTAGGAAATATACAACCACTTAATTGTGATTTGGAAGGTTGGCATGACTCTAAAGATGCAAAATGAGCAAAAAGTTCACTAGATACATTAGAGTTCATCACAGCGGGATCATTGGGAAATTGTTCTAAACTTAACGTATCTATTTGCACTACATTTTGCTGTGGCTCAAAGTTGATATTATGCATCAAATCTATTTAAAAATATAAATATCATGAATTAATGAAATGGTTTTTACCTGATTGGCAAATGCATTTATTTATTTAATACAAATTGATCTTATAGGTAAATACATAATATACTGTTTAAAAATGAATGAAAAATCTAAGATTTTTATTAGGTTAATTATTATTTATAAATAACATATAAAGCAAGTTTAAACTTAAAGAAACCAGATTATTAATAAATAGTAAATCAATAACAAGTATTATTAAATTAACTATTAAAATTAGGTCTATAATAATAAATTAAGAATAAAATTCTAAATTTGAATAGTTGAGATAATGACACAATGATTCAAAATACATTGAAAATGTTACAAATAAATATAATACATACACTTCACTTTACTTCCTATTATTTAATAAAAATATCCATATCTCATATTCTTTATGTTGTAACTTTTTATTTTAAATCACATAAAAAAAATCAACTTTCATTTCCTAAACAGCTACTCAACATTGAATTAGAGTTTCAAATTATAGATAAATTATATTAAAATATAAAGCCAATCACTGGACACATATATAGACATATTATTATAGTTGATATTTAATGTACCAAGTAACTATAACTAAATAACTTAATAAATAACTTAGTAAATCTGGGGAAATAATTTAATTTACATATGCCATGTTATAAAAATTAAAAAAAACAACCGAAATAACTGCATAAATGGTTAAATACTATTATATTTTTATATTAATTAAAGTTGCATTTTACACAATACAAATAATAATAATACAATAATTATTAAAATAAAATTAGGTATTGTCAAAACTATTTAGAAAGTAATCATAATATTCAAATACAAAATAATAATAATAATAATAATGCATAATTTCTTCATAAAAAAATTTAAACATTTTTTCAACATTGGACAACAATTTGGACACAGATTTCCTAAAGTGAAAATAATCTCTATGTAATTAGTATTATTAATACTAATTACTTACCAGCTTCAACCATAGTTAAATTTAAACTAAAATAATAAGACTAATTTATTCATAAATAACCTGTTGGCGGATAAATTTGTATGATTTCAGTTGAGTCGACCAAGTTTTGCTTTGTATTAATATTCAAAACGTCTAAATTAAATAAATTAATTAAATTAATAAAAATAAGAATAAAACAAATATATTGATTATTGATTACCATCCACATTAATTTCACTTAAAAGTTGTTGATTGTTAGGCAAACTAGACTTCATCAAGCCGATATCATTTGGGTTAAAATCATGTTAATACATTATCAATGTTAATTATTATTTATTACAATATTATATTATAATATAATTATTGGTATGATGGAAAATAAATAGGTATATATGAATAATGAATTTAATTAATATAATGAAATGCTTAACTTACTTGATTTTTCAATTTTTTGAAATTTTCTATCACTTTCCGTACGTTTAAAATAATCTGAAATAAAACTGGAAGCCGTTCTCTTTACAGGCTTTATTTTTTTTTGACAAGATTCTTTATGGCGAATCCAGTTAACACTGTTCATAGATTCACGTTTTTTACCACAACTGGGACACAGTGAATTCATTTTTAAATAACGGTTATAATTGCAAACGTAAATAAATAAATAAATAAATTATTATATAAACTACTAAAGTAGGTTTCTGCTTGACGGTTATTGCATTAATAACAGTCGATCGCGAAATAATACATTGACCACTGATATTTGATATTAATAGTTAATACCATTGATTAAAATTTATAAATACTCCATGTTAATACTAATATAAGTAATAATCTCACTAATAATAATATTGTCATGCACTTGTGCGGGCAGGCACAAGTCATTTCGGCTGTTTTGGGTAAATGGGGAATAACCATCTGATAACGATCTGTTTTATTTATAAAACAAAATAGTGTATTAATTAGTTTATACTTTATTATGCCATGTTACCGTTGTAGTTACCAGTGGCGGTTCTGGTAGTATTTTTTCGGTGAGGCAACATAATGTATCACCCCCCCCCCTCCCTCCATACAAAATTAGAATTCACAATAAATGTAATTTAAAAACAAAAATAATTATAATTGTAGGAATGCTAATAATATACTTGTTTCGTATAGTAAGTGATAGATAGGTAATAAACAGAGCATTTTAAAATTTGGTGGTCCTGAAAAGGACCTTTTGAGTAGGTATGCCTAGTCCTGAAAATGACTTTTTAAGTTGGTATGCCTAGTCCTGAATAGGACTTTTTAAGTAGGTATGCCTAGTCCTGAAAAGGACTTTTAAATATGTCTAGTTCTAAAACTATTAATTAACTAAATTAAAGTACCACGTCTGTCACTGGATACGTCATAACTCCAACAGTAATTAATTTAATAATGTTTATTACAATAAACTGCAGCACTCGCACATATATTTTAACGCAGACGTTAAGACGAAACCACCGAAAACGGAAAAAGTGTAAGACACAAGCGAATATTCGTTCAAGACGTCAAGACAGAAATGACTAATGAATAAATAATGATAAATATAAAATTATTATCAATAGATATTACAACGGACAACGGTTTAATTAGGACTGTCCCGAATCTCGATTGTAACAACAACATCTTTACTGATAATGTGTTTTTACGTTGAAATGCCGGCTGACTATATATTCCTGTATACCGAGTCTATTTTTATTTCATAGGCGATGTAAGTCGAGCCTCACAATGATCATTACGCATGCGCAACTCTAGTTATTTTATAGTCGCGTGCATTCGCGTACATACGCTTGTGTGTGTAATTCATGTACACAATAGTACATACTCTGAGGCGGAGATGAACGGTGCCTTCTGACGTCATCGGAACATTACCGCCGGTTGAAACACCAGCGTTTGTTTACGTAATACTTATATTTTCATTCATTTCTTATCGGTTTATCACTATTTTTTGGTAATAAACACTAATGATATGATTTACCATTATTTTACAATATAATAAATGATAATTCATATTGTTAAACTTGGCAAAGAAGATTTTTTCTCAAATAAAATCATAAAAACGTTAAAAATTAATATCGAAATATTTATATGCTATCGGTGGGCCAAAATATATACTTTAATAGTATTTTTTACTTAAAATTGTAGGTTAGGCGGCGCCTCACTTGCCTCACCCCCAAAACCGCCACTGGTAGTTACTAAACTATCTACTTATATACCACACAATATTTATACATTGTTTATACGATACACCAATAATTACATTTTCCTAGATTATTATGAATAAACTCGCTGATATGTTAAGACGCCAAGTTCATAATTTATAAAAAAAATATTTTACAAATCCACCTACACCCACCCCCACATATGAATGGAGCCGCGGCTCAAAAAAAACTGCTTCGCCACGCCACTGCTGTTGGGTTTTAATAACTCGGATGTTACTACTAACTCATCTGTCATTTCTATGGCATCAATATCTGAATTACTAACATTTTCATTTTCTAAGAGTAGCAATTGAAGATCTATACAATTTTTTACAATGTTATCTTTCGTTATACTTTTTAGACTACTTATATCATACAAAAATTTAAAGTTATCGCAGTGGTTATGTAATTGTTCAAATCTTTCTTCGAGAGAATTGAGAGCTACGTCTAATATATAAAAGTATAATTCAACTTTAAATTTAGTTTTTAAATTAATTATGGGTTCATCTGGTTGTTCATAAGAAAAGAACACGGTTTTATTTTTTCGTGGGCGTATAGAAGTTTGTTGCGTAAAAGAAGCCTCAATATCCAATTCAAGAGCTATGGTTTCAGTATCTTTTAAAAATTTATCAAAACTCTCATCACATCAAATTTTTTTAAAAAAAATTATAGTTTCAGATAAAATATTTTTTGCGCCAGATATATCTAATGTTACTTTCTGTAACACTTTACTCTCTAGATTTATTTGATTTAAAATTGAGTGCCAAATTACAACGCAACACACAAAGTTAAAATTTTTAATTTTTTTAGCTTAAGATTCAGCTTCTAATCGGGTAATTTGATCAAAAGATATATCCTGACTTATTTCGTATAATGAATCAAATATTTCACCTGTTTGATATCTGAATGGTCTAATTGCATCTATTCTACTCTCCCATCTAGTTTCACTTAATGGCTTCAAAGTTAATTGTGTTATATGTTTTTTTAAAACAGCCCATCGACGAGTAGAACCACTTAAAAATAAAAATATAGCTTGAATTTGAATAAAAAATTTGCTTGCTCCAGTGGATGATTTAGCAGTATCATTTACAACTAAATTTAGTGTATGAGCATGACATGGTACAAAAAAAGCACGACTATTTATATCTAAAATTTTTTTTTGTACACCAGAATTACGACCTTTCATGTTTGAGCCATTATCATAACCTTGCCCTCGCATATTCTGTATTGGAATTTTATTTATTTTTAATTCTGACAATATTGCATTTTTAAATTCCTGACTTGTGGTAATATCAACCAGAATAAACCCAAGAAAATGTTCACAAATATCTACTTTTTTTGTATCTCGGTTAATATCAACAAACCGTATAGTTATTGACATTTGTTCTACTCTACTTTTATCGGGAGTACAATCTACAATTATTGAATAATACTTAGCATTTTTTAACTTTTCAAGTATTTTATTTTTAATTGCTCAAGAAAGTAAATGTATGATTTCATTTTGAATCCTCTTACCTAGATAATGATTATGAATCTCCTTATTTTGAATTCTGCAAACATGTTCTGATATAACACTATCAAATTTTGCCAGAAGCTGTACTAGTCCGAGAAAATTGCTATTATTGTTTTCGTAAAGAACATCGTTTGTACCTCGAAGAGGTGAACATTGTTTATCAAGAAATTCAATGATTGCCATTAAACGCTCAAATATATTTTGCCAATGCCGAGTTTCATTATTTAATACACGTTGATGGGCAGCATCTATGGTTTGATTGCTATTTAATCTAGCAGACAGTTCCATCCATTTTTTTAAAGAATTAAAATGTATTTTGTTTGTTTCATGTTCTTTAACTATATTGTGTACGTTTTTCCAATCATTACAGCCAAATTTAGTCAATGCATAATTTTCACTACTAAATAATATTTTACAACAAAAACGGTACACAACATCATTTTTAATAAAATAAATTAACTACGTATGTTCTATAACTTCACCATTTTTTAATGTTTTACTTAAAATTGAAATTGGAAACCGTCGATTTAACGCATCTCTAGGATATTTGAAATCTTTATTTGGTTTAGTGGGACCTGTTTTTACTAATTGAAGTCGTAATGAATCTGAAAAAATCGCTGGCCATGTCCCGGGGTCAGATATGTTATTTTCATTCTCATTATATTTAATACTCGTATTTTCTTCCTAAGTTATGTTTATTTCATTGTCAGTAACTTCTAAGGTATTTGATTCTTTCAAAGTTGTGTTTATTTCATTGTCAGTAACTTCTAAGGTATTTGATTCTTCTAAAATAATTTTAGAATGTGTTTCTGGATTATTTAAAAGTTCATTATTTTTTTTTCAAATATTTTTCAAAGGAACCAGAGTTTTTTTTTAATTTCTTCATCACGTTTTAATTTTTGTTTTCGTTATGCAGCTCCTGATAACCGTATACGTTTTTGCTCTGACATATTCAATAAATATTAACGTGATAATTTAACAAAATTAATACCAATTAAGTGTTGCAGTTAAAAACGTATTATAATAAAAATTGTACACGTTCATACACTTGATACACTATCACTATCACTCCACAGTCTACAGCAAAAATTATTTACGTGTTAAGGTACGGTTTCCAAGCTGCGGCTGGAAAGGTACCTTGGCGGGCGGCTAAAAGTCCGGGACTAATTGTGTCATTGACCATTATTTTCCAATTACATAATTATTCTGAACTCGATAAGAACGTGTATTCATCTGTGGTCGACTAATGGATGTACCACTGTACATCGCCGTTTTATTTATATTCATGCAGTATTATGACTGGTGCGTTCTCGGTAAACTTGTTTAGTATATTTTGAACAATGAACATATACAATTCAGCATACTATATATATTATTATTTTGGTTCATTTGAAATTTCCTCCCTCCCCTACTAGTGCCGCTCTAGGCGGCTGCCTATTTTGCTACCACATTGACCTGGCCCTAAACACATCTACATCTAGGTGTAGGAAGTGCCACAAATTCCATATCAATCGTTTCAGAAAATTGTTCAGCTGATAATACTACTTCAGAAAAAGAATCTGTACCTATCTCTACAATTTATAATTCAAATTTTGGATTTGGCATTTTCAATTAAAACCACAGTTGCCATCAAATCAAGATCTTTTGTTTGTAAAAGTTTATTAACTGTTTCAAGAATTCGAAATATTTTTTGAAAAGAAAATGCTGTTAATAAAAATCGATAAGATGTAAAATAATCTACGAGTCCACTAATTGTAGCACCAGTCTTAGCATCACCTGGTCCTTCATATTTTTGAATGTATTTTAATGTATCAATTATTGGTGTAAACGTTTTTAAAACTGTGTCTAATGATGTTGAATGAGAAGACCACCTAGTAGTAGATACATACGTTTTAAAGCCATGAGTTGATGCTTTTTTGAATTATTGTAATGATTTTCTTGAAATTGTCTATAAAGAGCAACTCTTTTTTTAGCACACCATATAAACGAATATAATGTCTCCAGGTTCCCAAATATATTTATTGAATCTACACTCGATAAAACTAATTCTTTTACAACGAGATTTAACCTGTGAGCGTGACACCACACAAATGTTGCACGTTTATTTTTTGCTTTAACTAAATCTTGCAGACCGTTGTACATACATCGCATATTTGACGCACCATCATATGATTGTCCAACTAAATCATTGATCCAATGGTTATGGTTTTTCATTACATTTATAAACAAACTGAAGAGATAACTTCCACAAGTATTAGGAGATTCTCGTATAGCTAATAACCTTTCAAAAATAGAACCAGTATTAGGACAAACATATCGGATAATAAATGATACTTGTTCTTTTCGTGACGTGTCAAATGTAGAATCGAATACAATACTAAAAAATTTTGATTGTTTTACATTTGTCTGAATTTGTGATGCAATATCTTGAGCAATGGAGTCAATTAACTGGTATAGTCTTTCCCAGCTAATAAATGACAATTCCTTTTTTCCTTTAGATTGTAATTTTGTAATATTTTCAGCAAGAGAACCAGAATGCTTTGTCATTAATAGAACCAAATCTTTAAAATTTCCTTTTAATAACGCATTAGACCATTTTTCATTATGACCCCGAAATCCTAAATTATGTTGAGCTAGAAAAATAACAATTGCAATGAGTTCAAAAACTATTTGTCTGTTAATAGATATTTGATATTTATGTTTATGTTCCATACTAGGCAACAACGGTAAACATTTTGTTCTTGTTTTAACTTTAATTGTGGAAGTTATATGATAAGTTGAAACTTCATAGTTTATAATACGAGCAAGACCATTAATCCAAGTTGAAAATACATCTTTAGTCCATGATTTTAATGCCATTCCGTGTATGTTAATACCAGAATAAACAGTGAATATAAAATATTTTGTCTGTACTCAAAGAGTAGGATAACCAATCACGAATAACTTTACTACTTTCAGGAATAGTTCTGTAATACCACAAGTAATTGAAGTGACGTCCATATTTATCTTTAGGATACATTTTTCCAGGAATATCTTCAGGTAAAGGTTGGCATGGGCCTAACTTTAAAAAATAATTCTTTTGTTCAAGAGTAATGAAGCTCATTTTAACACATTGGATAGGATCATTTTTTAACTCTACATCAATAGCACATTGACTAAAGTCAGCAGTTGAAGTAGACGGTTGTACATTTGATTTTTCGCTATATGTTGATAATGCATCATTTTCTAAAAATGAATAATACACATGTTTAAAATGAAGAAATTAATACTATAAAAAATCACTCAAGCATACAAATCTATTTCAATATGCACTACTCTACATTTAACTATCAACCTTTGAGTAAATAAAGTATAAATACAAACATTAAAGTTGTACTCTGCTTTTATAGTAGAATTACTTGTTTGAATAGAATCTATTGTGCTTGTATTATTGTTCTTATTTTCATATAAATTCAAATTTATTTGATTTATAATTTAAAAAAAAAAAGCTTATACAATATATATAACAGCTAAAGTGTGATTTATAAAATTGGTTGTACATTTTCAATATTTTCCTAAGGTTTTTGGTTGGGTCAATATTAAATTATAGCATAAAATATTGTTTTAAATGTATTAAGTTATAAAAATCCGTGTAATTTAAACAATTTTATAAAGTACCTGTTAAACCAACATCACCATCTTCATAATATTCAATGTAATTTATGAAAAATAAAAATATTAATTTTATTAATTTTGAAATTTGTTAAATAATAAAAAAAAATATACTAAAACAAAAAATTATATGAAGTAATTGATAAACCAATATTACTAGTTTCATCATATTTAATTACTAGTCAAAACTAAATAAGAATTTTGTATATCAAGATTTTCATTAACTGGCTTATGTAAATTTTCCAAGTCATATAAAAAAAAAAAAAAAAAATTAAATGTATAACTGAAATAATATAATAGCATAGGTATAATAAGAAAATATAATGTTGTAAAAATTTAAATGATCAATAATCAATGAATATTGCATTTATATCAATATTTATCTCAACTATAATTTAAAAAAAAAAAAAATACAAACATATTGTTTCATTAATTTTAAGCACAGTATGTACTTAAACAAATAAAATAATTATTTTTGTATAATTATAATGAACATTTATATTGACTAAAGTTTTATCTTTTTCAATGAAATATAACATTTCTTAAAATTTTAAAAATTATAATTATGCAAGTAGTATATTTTTTAAATATAATATTAAATCTATACTTACTTTTTAGAGATTAAAAATGCGTGTTCAAAGCTTTACTAATAAGTCTATTTAATACACAAATTCATGTGACTAATATTATTAAATTATAAAATGTTGAAAGTATTTCACAAATAATTGTTAACACATATTATTTAATAACTGATTGACATCAGTTCTCATTCGTCTGAATTTGATTAAAATAGAAATGCATGAATGCAACAAAAAAAATGTCACTAAAAAGTGTTTTAAAAATTAGAAACAATATAGTTGTGTTTACTAACCAGTAAAAATACAAAACATTTAGGTACTTGATTGTTATTTATTACCTATTATTATAATTTATATTTTATAAATTACATTAGTATTTATATAATAAATATTATATATTACCCAGATTTGTTGTAGAGAATACATTTATCGTCGAAAAAAATTTTTTTATGTTGCTTGTTGTCGTACTGGTAGATTTTCTTTTTATGCTACATGCATTCTAGTGTCTGAGCCAATTGGTCTTGTTTTAATTACCTTTACTCTTACCACAAATACATAATTTATCATAATTCATAATGAATAAATCGATAAATATATTATAATAACTATCAAATACAAATTTTGATTTACAAGAAGTAATAATTTAATAACCAATAGATAGAAATCGGTCAACTAAACACGTACAAATTATTTGACGGATGAAATAAAAATAGCTCTTTGATACCATGCACATTTCTGATATCATAACCATAAACAACAATTAGTATTGATATATTATTAGGTAAGTTCATAGAGACAGAATTCTATGTATATATAAGATATATTTATTTATAGATGTTATCTAATGTTTTTGTCAAGGGGAATTCCGTCTTGGCCATATTGTGTATAATGTAGAAATAGTAAACAAACAAAATAATGTTAAATAACTACTTTACTGCTTTAATAATTGATGTCATTATTCATCACTGAATGTCTGAACATAAATGTACATCATAATCAGATGTGTACAAAAAATATAATACATTTTTTTTGTGTAACATTTGAAACATATATTCTAACCCGTCTACCCAACGAACCTACCCAACCACCCCAAATATATTGTGTTGCGGTCGCAACAGATAGATAAAGGGATCGGCGGCACTGAGAAGAACTATACTTTAACTGTCCATTTACAAAGTGTCTTCTTTCTCATCTTCGTCAGAACTACTATCTGAACTGTTAACTTATTCAAATAATTATTTTACTTCATTGGGAAAGCACTTGTTTCTTCTATTCACTATGTGAAGTTCACTTATCTTCGGATCTGACGATAACAACAACCTATTAAATAGATCTCTGTTTGTTTCTATTCGAGACGATTTTCTCGTAAAATGTTCTCTATATTTTTTTATATCTTTATTCCTAGATTCTTGGGCTTCTTCACTTAACTGGCCAATAGGTAAAATAAATGAAGCTACTATGTATGGTCCATGAATTAATATTTCATGTACACTGGGAGGCATGTAAAACCATTCATATAAGTGTACATATAACTGAACAGTACTCCAAAAATAATCTTCTAATTTCTTTACGTTTAATAGTTGTCCACTTGATAAACACTGAAGAATGACCCCAAAACGAATAATTAATGTTTCGTCAATACTGGTAATTTCAGCTGATGTTTTGCAAATCTTCTAGCAGTGTTCCAATCATTACTACTCTCAAAACCTGGCTGAGGAAGTCGACCAACAAACCTAATTTCTTTTTAAAATCATTTTGAATTTGTTTTTTCCGTTTGGCCAACAATTGATCAGTGCCATTTTTTTTTATTAACATACAAAAATACAATAGTAATAATTTAATATATTTGTTATGAAATTAATTTTATTATAATAATTACCTTCCACTGTTTAAAGTCTAATCTATATGACACGTGGAGCAGATATTCAAAACATCTTATATATGCATGCAATTGTAGTGGGCCGTTCTGCAAGAGGACGACGCAATACACCGTTGACGA